GCTGGAAGTTGCTCGAGGAGTATTGATACGTAGGATAGACTGAGAGAAACTGCGTGTGTGTGGGCGACTGTTTCCTGTCACAGGAAGCGAGTCAGTGTGTCATGATAGTGTATGTAAGGGTGAAAGACACAAGAGGGAAAGACGGCTCAGAATTTGGAAACACAATTAGGCAAAAAAAGACAAAACAAAAGAATACATCTGCACTAAGTGAGCACTGCTGTAAAATGAGCTCTTTAGACATTTTGTAAAGAAGTGTCTCTTTAATCAGTTCTCTATAGCAGCAACAATCAAAGCCTCACAGATAGAAGACAACAGATGACAGCAGCACCTACCTGCATTGACCATTCCAGCCTGGTTAGGCATCATGCTGTGACTTCCCATCCCTTGTTGTTGTTGTTGRTGTTGTTGCTGCTGCTGCTGCATGAGGGTGTACGGGCTTGAAGCCCTTATGGGGTACTGTAATGGAGGCTGCTGAGGGGACACATTCATGTCCAGAGGGAGACTCCTCACAGACAAACTCCTGCCAGGTGGACCTTGTCGAACACCCCCGAAGTCTAGAAACGAGCATAAAAGGAGTTAAAGTCACGAGCCTGGTGGAGCCAAACTAAATGTTCTGCTCTGGCTCTCTGAGTTACAGTAGGACGTATTAGTTGGGCCCATGCTAGCCGCAAGACCTCTGTGTTGCTGCTGCTGCGCCGCCATGACCGGACCAGCCTCCGACATCTGCAGGATGTTGTTTATGATGTTCTGTTTGTCCATGGGACTGGGCAAAGAAACCTGAGCGTCCTGCAGGTCGTTGAGGATGTCGTCCAGCTCTGACGACTGGAGGGACGGAAAGATGAACGGAAGGGAGAAAAAAACAAAAACAGATTAGACATTTAGGATTTTATGGTGAAACTTGAGACTTGTTTACAGGCTAAACAGCAAACTAAGAAAATGTTCACATATTTATCCTCAACAAAAGTCAACAATCTCTACAGCCTTACAGAATTCCTCTTTAGGAGAACATGATAGAAACAATCACAGATATGTGGCTGTAATGTTTACTGAAGAGGCCTGAGGGACTWCAGGTAAATAAGTTGCAGTGGCTGGAAGTGTCCAGCAGAGTGCAGCGCACCTGGAATGACAGATATTTACTGTTCGTGACAAACTGTACGGTGGCGGAGCAGCACACCAGCATCTTCAGAGCTGCACTTCTAGACAATGACATTTATTCGCTGGACAAAAAAAAAAATGCTGCAAAAGATAACAAGGGTGCTGAAAACGTCTGACACAACATTTATCAGGGGCGCTCAAGYACGGCAGTCATGGTCGAGCCTACTTATTTAGACTTTTGCTCCATCAAGAAGAAGAAAAAAAAGGCGGTTTTAAATGATTAGCCACACATGACTGATATTACAGAGAGCCCACGAGCAGAGTGAATATGTAGGAGACCTAGAGAGAGTAATGGAGTGAGGGGTGGGGTGGTGGGAGAGAGAAAAGCCCTAATGAGGTCAAGAATGATGTAATGCCTCTGTACACTCAGTTTCCTCCTCCTCCTCTCCAATTCTCTCTCTCCTCCCACTTTCAATTTTCTCCACTTCGAGCTGCTTCACTCCTAATGGGTCCAGTTGCCATCAATTCTTTTAACCTGCTTGTTTAAACGCTCGTCTGTGCATGAAGTACAACTGCAGCCATTAACTGTACACACTACAAAGGAATTACAAGGCAAAAAAAAAAAAAGTCTCGAGTCATTTTAACCATAATTCACATTTTGACAGTGGTTTTAGAGCTTTAATTAGAAACGCAGCTGAGAAAAACATACTTAAGGTCACATACTAAAAAAAAGTGTATTTTCTTCAAACAGTGTTGTCTTTATCAGATACATTCAGGTAATTTAATGCACCTGATTCTGCAGAAATGAATTGTCAGCTGCTGATGTGTCCCACATTTCAAGCATGTCTGATACTGAAGGGCTGCTGTTGACAGCTATGCAAATAACCCTGACTCTTCACACAACAAGACAAGATAGAGCTCAGAAAAAACACGTTTTTCTACAGAAAGAGAAAAGAAAGAAAAGAAACCTGAACAGATCAGATTCTTATTTCAAACCTTTATCTACAGATTTTTACTGTGCATGTTAAAAGGCGCAAAACTGACCCAATACTTGCACGGGCTTCGGTGAAGGAATTTATTTATTAATTTTGTCAAAAAAAAAAAAAAAAAAACAGGTCTCTGACATTGTACAGGAAAGGGAACCAAGAAACAGAGTGAGAAAAGCAGAAGTGTCTCTTGTCAAGTAAGGAAAATAAAAAGTCACCTCTACAAGAACGCAGATTTAACAGCAATAATTCTATGTAGCTGAATAAATAAATAAAAACCAACGTTTGTTGTGAACTCATTTTTGCATCACTGCTTCTTAAAGTAAAAGGACTGATTTACCTGCTGCTAAATTATGGCTGAATTGTGCAACACATTTCTAAAATAATATTACAGCTAGAACTGATTCAGCATTCACATGGTTGTTTTCCTGCCTTTTTTATATATATTCATTTTTTGGAAATCTTTTGCAACCAAACTACTTCTGCAGACTTTTATTTTAGCCTATCACACATCTAAACGTTCAGCTCGTTCAGGAGATGGGCGCCGTGACTTTTTGATTTGCACATTTTTTACATTTTTCAAAATATTTCACTTCATTGAGATCATTTCTTTAAAATCTGTGTCAGCGTGCTTGCTCTGTTTTTGTATTCTACTTGTAGAACAGATTTTAGCTAGGCTTTCGCAACTGTTTTGCTACTTTTAGCTTTCAGCTAGTTAGGTGTTCCGTTCATTTTAGCAGTCGTTTAAACTACGTTTTTCAAAAAATACAATTTCTCTAGTTCAACAAGAAGCTATTTTACTAAATGTAAACCATTCTCCTGTAGATGCAAGATATAGATTTGATTTATTCCTTCTGTTTAGCATTTGAAAGACACTATTTTTGATAAAACACTCCAGAATTTTTTCACTCCTGTCCATCTACAAAGCAAAAATTAAACCTGAAAGAAATAGGTTTTCTATTTTTCTTGCTAACTTGCTCACAGCCTGAGTCACTGAAGTTCCTGCTTCTGCAGACTTCATCGCTCATCCTATTTGACAAAAAACAAACAAACAAAAAAAACACTAATCCAAGCAGCAGTGAATGTATATGCAAAGGCAACGCGCCTTCGTTTTTCTAACAGTGATTTATCAAACTGTATTTGTTTATCAGGCCCATTATCAAGAAAAAAAAGTCTTCACAGCAACAGCTTGATAATGACAGCTGCTTAAGAAATTATTTATGATTTGAGATCAAACTGCACACCCCATCAGATGTCTGAGARAATAAACTGGAAAATATGTTGAGGAAAAAAAGATGAATTATGAATGGTTGACAATGATCCTTTATCTCAACGCTGTCGTTTTGTTAATATCTGTAATTAACTGAAGAGATTTAACAACAATAACTGAATAAACAGAGCTGCAGAGATGGAAGCCGARGTGTAAAGATGCACAGAAAAAGAACAAAAAAACAAAGTTCTAGTCGTTCCCTCCAGAGTCACAGACTGTGTGGCAGCAGAGCTGCTCTGGCAGGTGTGACAGAGATGGAATGTGAAACAGCCGGATGCTACGGCTGCGGCTGCTTTGGCGAGCCAGCATATGGAGAGTAAAGATACAGACTTTTGGCAGACTGGACCGGCACACATGTCAGGACTGGCAGATGGCAAAGGGATAGTGAATGAGATGCTTAAACGAAGGAGAAGAGTTATGCTGATGACCAGAGATCATCATCTGTGTTTTCTAGAGTGGAAAACGACCCGCGTTCTCTCCGTCCACGGCTGAAGCTTGATCTGATCGCCGGTCTGGCGCGAGCCTCGAGCCGGCCGTGCAGCCAACAGAGCTCTGCTCTGATTTGATTTGTTTAGCTTCGCCCCGTCCATCAATAATTCAGCTTTGAAACAATCACGAGGAGCCGGGGAGGAGGAGGAAGGCAGGGGKGAGATCAGTGGGTGGGGTTAGTACAGAGGCGGGTGACTCTCTTTAACTAGTACAGTGAGTTTTCACACACGGCCAAGCAGCAGCAGATCACCATACGAGGAAAAGGAAAAAACACGCACACACAAAATGACTTAATGAAGTCACGGCTTGTCTAACAAAATGTCTTTTTTTCCCCTCGGTAATGAAACCTGTTAAACTAGAATGAGCCATCGCCGATTGTAGGAATGAGTGATTCCATCATCATCTTGGTGTGAAAACTCTCAAGAATTTCATCGTCACTATCGAGGCAAGTGAGGGAAAACAAAACAAAACAAAACAAAAAACAACCCAAAACATTCAGTTTCTGTTCGGCACTTTGCATAATCTGTACCGACACAAAATAAAACCCTAAACATTAAGGCATGCAGATTAAAGCTTCGTTTCCTTCCCCCCATTTTGCTTCGTGCGTGCTCTACAAAACGCAGCACTCCCTCTCTCCATCTCCATGGCAGCAGAGAGGACATGCAAGAGCATATGGCTCATCATTTTCACTCTGCATGCCGAGGCCGGGCTCTCCTGGGGGGTATCTACACCTTTCTCATCTCACATTCTTTGTTCTGCTCAACAGTTCCTTATTATCCAACAAATCACATTTTCCTCATTTCCACTGTGTACTCAAGCACCGGTTTCAACACAAAAAATGTGACTACTGTAGGTAGCTGCTCGTGTTTAAACTGCTTGCATAAATACAGCAGAACAACAGCAACACAAGGTTATAATAGTTTTGGATTTTTCATTATAGGTTAGTTTTATTTCGTTGTGACTTTTTTTCTTTCAATTCAGTTAGTTTTAATTAGTTTTTGCAGTGGATTTGCTAGTTTTTATTAATTATCGCATTATTAATGTTTAGTTTTAGTTTAGTTTTTATTAGTTGTAGTTTTTTCTAGTTTATTTGCCAATGCATCATCAAGCTTGTGATTTTCCTGGGAGTTAACTATAACCAGTAACCAGCAACTATTTTGTCACTAGTTAAAGCATCCATTATAACGACAACTTCCTAAAATAATTGCTTAGCTCAATTTTGCCAACTAAAAACTTGGGCGATTATTTTAGGACGACGACAATATTTGTCTCCAACCCGGTGCTACCTGTTGCTTGTTTTTCATGGGAGGTACTGAGAGAAGCTAGCGTGTCATGATAGTCATAGTTAGCCATCCTGTGTGAGCTTGATTCATGCAGTATTTCCCTTGATAAGTATTCCACCTGTTTTATCAGCTGTTTCCACAAGACACTTGTTTTGATTTTTATCGCAGTCATAAAGAAATCCCAAAGTGGACACTTTCTCCCAAATTTTGTTGTCATTATTTGGCATGTGATGCTGAGCAGCAGACTGTCACCCCTAATTTACATTACATGCGTTACGGCTCCGCTCCGCTGCACTGCGCAGGTCGCAGCTGTGCGTTTCAAGTCCAGTTTACACTACCACCGCTCCGGTCCGGTCCGGTCCGACAGACGTGCAGGAAGCAGATCGCGCGATAAACTCAGTGATAAATGTGGAAGTCACAGCAAAAAATAATTAATTCTGTGAAAGACGAACTCCAAACACAGCTGAAAACAACGATATAAAGGCTTTTGGTATCTATGTTGAAACTGTCTCGCTGTCGTCTTTCTGAAACTTCTGATTTCAAAATAAAAACCACATGTATCGTATGTGTACACATA